CTATTAATTCCATGCATTGCGATCCTTAAAATAATCATCAACTTTATAATAGCCTTTACTCATAAGTATATTCTTTACATGAATTTGAAATTTATTTATGGGTAGGTCAATTACATTTTGTGGAACTTTATTGAACATAGCAATACATTTACCCAGAAATGATTCTCTAGTTTTTTGAAGTCTGAAGCTTGGAACGGCAAGGATGGGCAACTCATGAATTTTCTGCTGTGGAATGTGGTTTCAATGCCATTAAGAAGAGAGCTATTCTAGCTGAATCTGTCACGTTCTTCACGTTATAGTACAAAGTCTCCCGCCACCGTAGAGATGCCATATTTTTTCGAGTACCAGAACTGCTTGTAACATCCTAGACTGGATAATGTTTGGGTGGATTGCCGGAACATTGATGATAATACGCTTTTTAGTAGCGAAAAAGTAACAGGTGCTTGAAAAACTCCTCATCACCACCATCACCAGCCCTTTTACGTCCCCACTGCAGGGGCTCAGGGCTTCCTTATGGATGGTTAAGGAGGATGGGCCGTGACCCTCCACGCTGGCCCAATGCCGATTGGAGGGTATTAACGACTGCAAATGCAGCCGGGACCAACGGCTTAACGTGCCTCCGAAGCACGGAGTAGCTCGAGATAATAATTTTTCGGTCCCCCATCCCGTGACCGGCCCTTGCGAAAGTTGCTTAACGACAACGATCGCGGGCCGCGGCGCTTATCCACTACGCCACCGAGCTACTCGAGTAACGAAAAACTCCTAAGTCCTGTTAATACCGTTGTTAGCTCAGTAGTTAGGGCAGTAATAACAAATTGCATTAAATAAAAAAAGGTTGGCAAATGAGGTCACATATATAACAACTGCCAAAATCTTAATAATATCGTAATAGTTAATCATCCTGTTTGCATCACCATGTCTAGGTACTATGCCAAGCTATCCAGCATTGTTGGTACCTTGGGAATTCTGAGGCAATTCGCGTTCCGCTAATTTGTAATGTTTATTGAGTTCAGCCGAGGCGCACGATCATTACATTGTGTGATTAAAATCGGAATCCAAATAGCAAATTAGTGATGTCATGTTAAAGCTAACAATGTATGCGAATCCTATTGGACTGTATCGATATTATATTGGAAAATATCGTTCATTTAAAACAGTATGTTTGAAAGCGTGCTCCTAAGAATACATTTTATTTTACTGAAGAAAACCTCAAACCCGTTGTGTAATTTAAAAGGTCTTAACGAACAGACAGCTGTACGTGATTTTGTTTTAGACTAAATAAATTATTTAATAGAAGGATATGGCATAGGTGTAAATAACATATGTATAGTTGTCGCTGGCCAGTGTAGAATACCATTAATTCTACGTCTCGCTATTCATAAAATTATAATCAACTTTATAATAGCTTTTTAACTTAAAACTTTAACTTAATACTTAAAAATGCTTGTTTCAAAACCGAGACATCTTTTACAGCATATTTTTTCACACATCTAGTCTTCTATCTAAAAATAATGCGGGGGTGCAGCAAGAAAATACTGGGAAATAGGGCTGCCACATCCTATCATTGTATGTGCCAAATCTAAAATGGCGAGCAAAAATTCCGAGTCATTTAGAAAAAAATCCGTTTCAATATTGCGAGGTATTTTTCATTTTTAAGAATATTTAAAAAAAAAATCAGTTTACTGCAGAAGGTTGGTTTGGTGCAATTGACTATTTTCGATGGTTTCAATGTTATCAACCTTTTAAACTGAAAAAAACATATTTTTGATTCCTTTGATCTTGGATGTCCAATGGCATTATTAGTAAATTTTCCTTTAATTAACATTTAAACTATGATCTATACTTAAGCTAGCTTATGATAGCAAATACATAATGTCACCCACAATTTAGAGGTATTTAGAGGTAAGAGGTAAAGTTTATACTTTGCATGTTTGTTTGGGGTTATTTTTATCTTGGAAATTCATGAAAATTCTTTCACCTGCGAGAAGCTACATCATACGCGGGTAGCGAGCGCATGTACGCAGACGAAGTCGCGGAAAAACAGCAAATGCAACATAAGTTTAAACGGTAGCTCTGACAACCCTGATAGAAACGACACGTAAGGAGTATGACCATTATCTTCACAGATGAGCGCGCGCGCCGCCGCCGACTGTGCACCGATAACCACTTGTTGCATTATATGATACAACCTTAAAACTTTGCGAACAGAGGGAAGCTAAAAATGGATATCTCGTGAATGTTGTAATATTGTAATGGACCCGATTTGACCGCGGTCGACCAAAACTAGAGCCAAAGCGAGTTATAAAAACGTTTATAGTTTTTGTCAATAATTAATCTTTATATTCTTTTATAAATATAACTTCGATTGCACAAATATGAAAAATATTAATTGTTTAAAACGACATTACCGATAATTTCAAATCTAGAACATTCATTAGAGCTTAAATTCGTCATTTAATCTTATTGGAAGCTTATGCACCTGGTTGTATATTTATTATTACATAAGTAGACTAATGCCAGTTTTCAATATATTATTATTAAATAAGTACACTGTCGGTTTTTTTTATTTTTTTATATATAAATGGCCTTTTTCCGTTTTACACAGAAATTCTGCCAACGTCCCGTAGTTTCACTAAACTCGTATATGACAGGTCATAAATATGTCAAAGGATAACAGGAAAAAAAATATTTGGAATTAAACTAATCTGCTTTCACACCAGTTTCACTAACCTAGAACAAGGCATAGCTTAACTAGGAAACGCCTAATTTTATGAATCGTCTAAGCAGATTAGTTTAATTCCAAATAAATATTTTTCTCTTTTATCCTTTGACATATTTATGTCCTGTCATATACGCAAATGCCTAGCGCAAGGTGCCGCATAACGAATATCATAACTTTAGACATTGCTTAATTTCGTTAGGTGGTTCCTAGTCAATGGTGAAATGCATTTTTACCTTAGGCGATTCCTAAATATTGAGGTGACAGATTTGGGGAACTCCTAAATTTAGTGAAAACGGGTATTAGGCGATTATTAAAATTAGGCGTTTCCTAGTTAAGCTTTCCCTTGTTCTAGTTTAGTGAAAATGGGTGTAAGTCTACTGAATTATAAACTTTTACAAATCTCTTGCACATTTTTGTCCTTTTTTACTAAAAAGACATTGGATTTCACTTCAACTTTTCAAAATCCCTTTACAGTTCAGATTAGCATTATTTGTTGATGTACCCTATCCATTTACAGAATACACCCAGTCAAATTTTATTATAACACACACGAAAAAAACGTAATACTGTGCTGGGAACAGACGTATCGGTCGTAAAGGGGTGTACATACATATGTTTCTGTTTCTTATATGTCGCGAGACCTGTTTCTTTTATAGAAATAATACAGAGTATCGCTGAGCTGTCATTTCATGAGATTACTGGGTGTGTTAACGTAAAAAAAAACACAGTTTGCGAATAAATATAACAGTAAACTATTCATATTATATGTAAATAACTAACTTCCTATGATCGAAGTAATTAATTTTCATAATATATTTACTGAATATTTTAATACTTATATATTTTTTCCAGCAAAAATTATATGTATATAAATATTTATTATACATAGTTTATGTATATCTTTGTTTTAATAAAACTGTATAATAATTCGATAAACTTTTATTGAAGTCGTGTGAGGATGAAAGGTAGATAAATTCTTTATTGCTCACGTACAAATTAAATGTTTACTTAGAGTTTCTTTCTCGAGGGAAAATGCGATCTTATCGCTAAAATCCAAATTAATAACAAAAAAAAGGTTCTTTGCGATACCATATTTAATGTACGAGAAATACTTGGACAACCATACACTTACAAAATTACGCAATATTTTTAAATGTAAAAATTATAAATCAAACAATATTGTTGGTACGGTGGCCACTTCATTATCATCAGGTTCGACCTCTGCTATTCTAAGAATGATCTGTAATAACCTTGGAATAAGCACATTTTTCAATTAAACTTTTTAAAAGAGACCTTGTTACAAATCGCCATAATAATTTCATTTGGCATCATCGAAAACGATATGTCGGCATCCGCTGCACATCGACACACGAGAGCATTAACATTTCGATGAAAACACCAATATAGTTCAGTGCCATTAACCTTTATGATACTGTCTAGCCAAAAGTATTTATGTTTGCCATCGATGCAGCTGCATTCGCGGCTTTATTCCACTATAAATAAAGCTTTCTATACATCAAGGTGTTGAAAAAAAGTTGCTCTAAGTTAAATGTCTGTTGATTCGAAGCTATTCACGTTTTTAGTACCGATATTCGCACACGTGTAGATTCATATCGGATCCTTGTTCCCGATTTTGTTTTATAGTAATGCATATACGACTTGGTGTTTACGTCTAGAATGTAATATTTTTATACTATGTGATAGCTAATGGGAATATATAATATACTCGTATTAATAAATAATAAATCGCAACTTACACGGGAAATGACAATGACAATAATCGCGTCAAAAACAAAGAACAAAATCAAAAGGAAAAAGAACATATTATAAATAATTAAAAAAGGATGAAATCTTTCCAGCCAGTCGTCAATACTATGATTTCGTTTATTAGGGGTGTTTCAAACGGTTTCAAAACTGGCATTTGGGACAATAGTGGTGTTAATTTTGTCATAAAACTAAACATTCTCAAATTTAATTTGGGTTTGTTTTATCATTAATCTATAAAAATCCTGTATGCTAAAGTATAAGAAGTTTAATTCTGTGATCTTCTTTATTTTTTCAATTAAATATGCAGTTTCACAGGACTAACGCTTGGTTGCACAAACGTCCATTAAGGTTTAAAAAATCCTTTAAGCTCTAATGTTACTATAAACTTATGAAAAATTTAATGAACGTTTACGCAACTGGCTGTAAATCTAAAAGTTTAAGCATCTTTTCACCACAGTTGTAAAATGTAGAGTCAAATTAGATATTAATTTTATATTACTATTACTTCTAGGCTATGCTGTTCTACGCTCCCCGGTGGCTGTGGAAGTCGTGGGAGGGAGGCAAGATCAGGGCCCTCATGATGGACCTGGACGTGGGCGTGTGCACCGAGATCGAGAAGAAGACCAAGAAGAAACTGATCCTGGACTACCTGTGGGAGAACCTGCGCTACCACAACTGGTGGGCGTACCGATACTACCTGTGCGAGGGTCTCGCTCTTGTCAATGTTATAGGTAATTAAACTTATTGTTATTATTCGAAGTCTGACTTTGAATCGTAAAAAAATGTTTATAATTAATTTTTTACCAAATCAATACTCTTAAAGATGAAGCCTTCAGCTCCAAATTGAGTCTCATATTCATCAATTTCCCTTTTAAAAATAAAGAGTTTATTACAAGAAGAAATTGCAAAAGTGGTTGATTTTAGGATTAACTTCTTGGAGGCATTTTTTATAGATAAAAAACTTAATGAATACCTTTTTGGATATGGAAAACCTCTCGAAATATGATGTTGTTGTTTTATTTTAATTACAACTTATTTGGACATTATTTTTTGACAAAACGCGCTCCATTTGACTCTAGTCCCAGTCATCATGCTATGCGTTCTGATTATCTATGAAAATATATAAATTAGCAAGGAAAGTAATATTTTTTTAGAAAATTAGGACTTTTTAGTTAGGCAAGGTTTCGGGTACAAATCTACCTGAAAGGAATACTGTTCATAATATTTATTAACACATACATTTCATAATTTACATTCTTAACTTTACTTAAATACATAGAAAGGTTCCAATTTTATAAAATAACATGTCGCTTTACGAGTATGCCGGAGGTATGTATTTACTTGCAGCGTGGGGCGGGCGGCGCCCACCGCGTTTCCGATATTAAAAACTGGCGCGTTCAGTGCCACTGAAATTTGCTGGGCGCGCATCGCATACGTGGGAGCCACTAATACAGCGGGCATTATGTTTAGAAAAAAATATTACAAAGAAATTATAATATATTATAATAAAATTGATACTATAATAAGAACTTTGTTGAAACAAGTCAATTGTTGGCAACATCTCCCAAAGAAATACACCGCTCGTTGTTTCGAACTAAAATGTAGATCAAATTAATTGGATAAATAAGAAAAGGACTAAAAAACAAAAAAACGATAGCAATAATGTGTATTATAATTCATCCATATATGGAAAAACAACATATCTTTTATAGAAGTGCACAAAATTACGTCAAAATAGCTAAACTAATCCGTTAACGGTTAAAATCTTGCTGGTTCTTGTCTGTATAATAAGGTCTTCCATCGATGGCATAGCTTTAGACTTTCACAAGTGCTGGTAACAGCTTAGACTGATTAAACAGTATGAATGAATGAATGAATAATAATTTGCCAGCAACTATAAAAGCTGAGTGAATACAAATACAGACAAAATATGTAAGAAAAAAAAAATAATTAAAAGACATACATAAGTCTGCATGTGTGCCGGAACGATGCAAAAAGGCAAAAGCTCAGTAATATGTTTGCTTGTAGAGCAAACTACTGATTTTCAGCATTAACCTAGAAAATTGGATTACCGAGGACGCAACTAAATACATACTATTCGTCAAAGTTCAAAATTAAATGCTGATGATTATATACTTTGAAACTATTTTATCGTAAATAAATTACACCAGATATTAAAACTTGGAATACAATGTGAATTGGATTAGGAAATAATACATTAAAAATGAATTGCATTATAAATTAAATAATAATAATTAACATAATAATGGATTAAATAATGTTTTTTAGTATTAAAATTGATTATAAAGATTAAGCCCAAGCAATCATCATCATCACCAGCCCTTTTACGTCCCCACTGCAGGGGCTCAGGCCTTCCTTATGGATGGTTAAGGAGGATGGCCCATGACCATCCACGCTGGCCCAATGCGGATTGGAGGGTATTAACGACTGCAAATGCAGCCGGGATCAACGGATTAACTAACGTGCCTTCCGAAGCACGGAGTAGCTCGAGATAATAATTTTTTGGTCACCCATCCCGTGACCGACCGTTGCGAAAGTTGCTTAACGACTACGATCGCGGGCCGCGGCGCTTATCCACTAAGCCCAAGCAATATTGAATTTGAATATCAAACTGAAAGATATTCATCAACATTATGTTTAAATTTCACTGATCATAGATTAGAATTATAGGTTTTTGTAACGGGAAATCTTAAATACGTTAATTGGACAACTAGTGATCCAAAGCTCTTTTTCATAGTTATTATTTTGCCCATAACAAAGTTGCGGTCTTAGTGGCCCCGCACGCACCTAACAAGACATTGGGAATATCAGGGGCCCATCTGTCGCTGCTCCTGCCCTGAATCGCCAACTAGCCTATCCTGTAAATCATAAGGGACCGGATTAAAATGAACGTAAAACAACGCATCCGTGTCGATACGACGTTTCTTTGCTGACCTGCGGAAGAAAACAAATACATTGGCGTGGCATACGTTTTCTGAATTTTAAAATCAGAATGTTCTAGCTAGAGGATCTTGTTGCCGTCATTGTATTTACGAGGGGGTTATGGTTCAAGAAAAAAAAGAGTCTACATAAATGTAATTTGACTTAGTTTTAATGCAAAAAAAAAACATTTTAATCATTGCTATCGTGGACGATTCTATGATTAATGACTTATCAAATTTGAGCAAACACGTGACCATCCAGCTAAAGTAAAACGTTGCACTTCATTGCAATAAAAGGAAACTGAAATATTTTTGATATTTTCAAAAATCAAACTCATCTTAGTTTTCTTAAATGTTAATTTATCTTTTTACTTTTTAAAGAACAGTTTATGATTTACAGCCGATTTCTCAATCGACAAAATTACATAATTTCAACTGATTATTCTCAATAACTTAAGTTTATTTTGTTTCACATGGCAAAAAGTCTTAATTTTATCAGACTGCTATCAACTGATCATTAAAATATCTAAAATCAGAAACTGAAATCTTTCTAAGTGACGTTCAAGTAAAGTTTGAGACCAAATCGAATCATTTATTGCATGTCACATTAAAATAATAAGATAGTGGTTATTTTGTTGCTCGTGTACATGTGACGCCCTGTAAGGGCATGGCAATGTTACGTTACGAGGCGTTCTAAAGTTTAAATTCTCAATTCAGAATTATATGATGAGTTATATGTTTCCATCAAATGTTACTTGTGATAGAATTGGTAAGTTTTTTTCGGTAAGTGGTAAGTCTCTTGTCAGCCAAAATAAATATAGGTAAATAATTTCGGACGATTCAAAAATTTTTGTAATAAGTTTATTTGGGTAAAGGTTTTTCTCCATTTTCATGCATAAAAAAATACTTACGGTTTTTTCGGCATATGTCCATTGTTATAAATGTAATGAACCAAAATGAAAAATAATGAGTAAGGGCTTCACTGAAATTAATCAGTGAATTTTAGTTTCATTAAGCAATTTTATAGATAAATACTTAACAAAACTTTTCAAACTCCACACAAGCTCATATGGAAGCATGATGTATTAAATCAAAGTCATCGAATAGAAATTCTATTGAATGCGGATATTTCTTTTTATAAATTTATCAAATACCAAACTTCAAATTTAACGAGTTATTCTTATCTATATCCAAAGATTATATCATAAATTCCTCTCATAATCCCATCTGCCAGCCGATATAATTTATTACATAAACATAGTAATATACACGTAATGGCAGCCCGATGGAGTAAAGATACACCGAGCGTCACTTGAACCGTTCTAGAAGCAGCGGCGTCAGCTGAATGTCACAAATAAAAACAGCAGGGGCGCCATTGGGCCGACTACGCAAATTTTTGGCTTAGGTTAAAGGTTAACAGCAGCTTTATCTACAAGGCAATATGCACAGTACAATTTATATACAAATATCTTATGGTTTGTACATAAACTTAAAATATTTAATCGATAAACTTATCGCAAATATATTATTACACTTATAATAGTGCAATTTAAAATTTAAAAGAAACTGAAACCGAAAAGTGAACTTGTAACGGTTCGTATCGGTATCACACCGTTTATTTCGTCCTAGGTTCCCGCATCCAAACTTTTTGTCTATGACATAATTTCTTTTTTATTATTCACTTTTCGTGAAATTTTGAGTAACGCGATAATAATTCTCTTTCTGAATGTCAGTTCGTGAAAATTCATCCAGTGAAAACAAGTGTTAGAATTTATCAAAATACATTTTATATTGTTAGTTCTGTTATTTTCATCTATCAAAAATCAATAAAGTAACTTGTAAACATATTACTAAGGTTCCAATTGTTCTACAACCCGAATAGGGGATATTTTATTTACACTATAAAATATATCAAGTTATCAAGCTTAGTCGGCCTTTCATTTGCCTAAGCACCGAACCCTCGAAGTATTTCAATATAACATACCCGATAGAAAATGCGAACCGAAGTATATGAAACCTATACTGAGTTAAGTATTTTTCTGTAAAATAAAAGTCGATGAAAAATAACTAAAACTATAAGTGAACCTGGTACTCAATATTGTTATTTATGACAATATAGACACTGTTCGTCCAATATTCCTATCAGAGAAGATAGTGTAAATACTGAGAATGCCCGAAATGAATTCTACCTAGCGTGTATAACTATATTCGGATGTATATTTTTAGCTTCTCATTCGATCTAGCAATAGATTAGATGTTATATTTGTGATGAGGTTATTGATCATGTTGTAATTTTTTTGTAGGGCAAATGTTCCTCATGAACCGGTTCTTCGACGGGGAGTTTATGACCTTCGGGCTGGACGTCATCGCGTACATGGAGTCCGACCAGGAGGACAGAATAGATCCCATGATTTACATATTTCCAAGGTGAGATTTTTATTAATGAAATAAAAGACTTTAGGAAGAGCATTGTAGACTACTTATAAGGTAAAGCATTTAATAAGGCGCATGTTTTTAAAAGATAAACGTCTAACTGGTATAATCATAAAAAAATCTATAAATAAATCAAATTATATAAAATCACATACATAGCACAGACACCAAGATAATACATAGCAAATAACACCAAAATTGGGAACAATATAGTTCTTTTTATAAATATAAGTATAGACAACAGCTTCTACACTAAACTGCAGGGTTGGCTTACGAAAACAACTACCACAAAACGTAGCAACAGGTTCAGATCATTGTAGTAATAGGAACGTATGGCTGTAATTTGAATTCAGTTCTTTTTATTATTCTGCTTCCCTTCCGCGTCTTTAAATAATTTAATCTTTTACGTCACCTTTTTATGTAGCGTATCTTTTATTATAGTTCTTCCTAGGAACACTAGTTACAGAAATAATGACTGAACTATAGAAAGATTTCTTAACTCGCATAAAACACAGTATTATAGTTAACTATTATCTTACAGCCCTTGTAATTTAATAAAAATGTGCTATAAATGTATTCGTTATTTATTTCAGGATGGTAAAATGTACGTTATTCAACAAATTCGGCTCATCAGGCGAGGTGGAGCGCCACGACGCACTTTGCATCTTGCCACTGAACGTTGTGAACGAGAAAATCTACGTCTTCCTCTGGTTCTGGTTCGTCATCCTCGGATTTCTCACCTTCATCACGTTGCTGTATCGGCTCGTCATCATCTTCTCTCCTCGGATGCGGGTCTATATGATGCGCATGCGGTTTCGACTAGTCAGAAGGGACAACGTCGACACGATAGTGAGAAGAAGCAAAATGGGCGATTGGTATCTACTGTATATACTCGGGGAGAATCTGGACTCCGTAATATTCAGGGACATAATGCACGAATTCGCAAACAAACTGAACCACAATTACCAGCACCACATTCACGGAGTGCCAGACGCGTGACCTCCGATCCCCGGGTGGGTGTTCCACACATGACTAACGTCGTTGCAGCGTGACATGGACCCGCCCGTCTAAAGCGCTACAGTGTTGTTTAGTCACAAGGGACGAGAACAAATCTCTTTGTTTGACTAAGCAATAGAAGTGCGGGCCTAGTACGCTGCCTTGCGATACCCTGCCTATTTCGGACAATACTAGGGAGTGTAAAGACTTCTGGTGCGATATTATCCGTAATCGTAAGAATCGTAACAGTGCAATTCTAAACACGCAATAATAGTTTGTACTTAATCTTTAAGAATGTGATCTCAGGATGAATCCTATCGAAGGCCTTTGAAAAGTCAGCGATGACGGCTACACCGTTAGAGTATCTAGTGTTCAACTTTTAGAAGTATTTTATTAATAGATTCGCTGCTCGTAGTGATTGATAAAACAGCTTTCTTCTTTTCGATTCTAGCTAATAATGAATGTAAGCACACGGATAGCACACAACTTATCATTTATACACAATATCTCACCAATTTACCAAAGATTTAACAGACCAATAAAGCAATATTAAATATTAAAAATATGATAGTGTGGTAGATATACACAAGTAAGATTCCAAAAGCGAAAAAATCTTATGAATTTTTCCCTTTTTTCCTTCGTAACTATTGTTCGTGTATACTTTTGCGTGCCAAAAGACATTTGACAATATGTAATAAAGTATCACTACTTTAATTTATTTACTTAAATGAAATAAATTGACGAACTAGTATTCTCCTACTTTCGATCAAGCCGAATTGAGATTATTTTCTTCGATTATATCATTTCCAATATCGTCAGATTCAGTTGTCATTATATTATCTAAAAAACATTACAGTTTTCCAAATAAATGTTACTCAATACAATTTCTATAATGTTATTACCAAATTTGTTGAAATATATTCAATATGTCAATTTGACTCTTTTCAACAAGTTGCTGCATGAACTTTTTAAATCTGAATCTGATTCTAGTTTTAAGAAAGATGTATTGAAAGGAACTTAGTTGTGCCTAATTCGTTACCTCGTGCTAGACGATGATATTGTTGGAAATTGTTGTGTTCGTATGGATATTGATAGATGATGTGTATAATACATTCTTGAGTCAAATGAGCATTTAATAATTTAATTGTGAATATGTTTGAAAGTTATACATACATTCGTAATTAATATAGTTTTATAATAACGCTGGAAGATGATATGCGAGATAAATACTCATTTTCAATCAATAAATGATATGCGCTACTTCCGATGTGTTTTTTTTTTCGTTACTATTTCATACACGGTAAAATTTGAATTAGTGTATAATTATTTGCCTTTGTTAACATTAATAGAACATATTAAAAAGCTGCAGTTTTATTATTTCCTATCTGTATATAAATGTTCATTACCACAATTTTATTATTATTTCAATAAATAGTCAATAAACTGTAATAAGTATATAGACAGAAACATCGGGTATGGACATCATAAGTAGCGATATGATTATAGACACCTTTTTTCTTTATCCCTGAAGTTAAATAAGTAGAAGAAACGACTTTTTTATTGACATATTGAACTTTACAAACAGAATACTTATATCAAATTCTTATTTTTGACTCAAGAAATGTGATATATTATAAATGTCAAAAGGTTGTTCCATTGTAAAATAATAAACGAAAATGTAACAGATTTAGTATGATTATAATAAGTATGTCAATGAGATCAATTATGGCAAAAATGTTCCTAATGATTATTTAAATAACCCCTCGAGAGGTTTAATTTTTAAAATTATAAAAATTTCCATCGATACAGTAAAATGAATAGTGGATATAATATAATGCTGTAGTAAGTTCGAAATGCCAAATATCGTGCCAAAAACCCCACTTTAACTGTGGATATTTGTTCTGTAGACATGGAAAAACAGAACCATGACAAAATCGATTAAAGTATATGAAATCATTACGCATTTTAATTTTATACCCTACCAATTAAAAATATATACTGTAGATCATATTTACCTTCCCATTCCATCGCATCTTTACCTTTGTGGTCCTCTGCCTCATTTGAGTGAACATCTTTCGATTGAATGAATAATTCTTGATGAGAAACTTCTATACAAACAAATGCACACCATTGTTTGTAATAAAATAAAAGAACACAACACGTAAAAGAGGAATGTTCACTATTAACACGTAATCTGTCCCATTCTATTACATGCTATTAGTGATAGGCTATTAAGGAAAAATGTGACGTGATGCACTCACAAAATCATCTGCCATGTTTCTGACGGGGCCATCACGTCGTCAATTCAGTTTAGTTTTAAAAATATCCTGGAGATGCATCCCAAAATTAGTCGTTTAATTCGTTCAAAGAGCAATATCTGCCGTACAATAGTATTAAGAGAGAACGATGAGACAAGTTTATATTTAAAAATAATATATATATTTGTATAAATAACCAATTACTGCTTATGATGTAATGTTATAATATGGAATATTATTTTCTGAAATGCTCAGCACAATGAGATAGACTGGGATAATTTAAATAATATAATAGATAGTAAACAACAGAGGATTGTGAATTGCGCTTCAAAATTGCTTTTATACTTAATTAATTACTCGAAAACTCGAATACAAAATAACTAACATATTTATCAATTTTAATATTAAAATAATCAGCTGTATAAAAATTGCCAACAGTATGAAACAGCTGATTATTTTTTCGTGAATTCCATGTTGCTCCCATAGTAAAAGTTGGTTAGCATACTTAACTCATTTACTCCACGAAGTCCTGGCACATAATGATTTGACTCATTTGCGTCAAATCAATAAAATACGAAAAATGGGTGCCTCATGATTTAACTGATCTGCAGAAAGAAATGCGTGTTGAAACTTGTGTTGCCTTTTTGAATCGGTACAGAAATGAAGGAATATTGGATCGAATTGTGACATGTGATGAAAAGTGTAAAAGAAAAATGCAATGGCTGACCCCAGGTCAAACGCCACAACAGTGTCATAAAGTAAAACTTACCAATCAAATTTCTCAGCATGATGTTATTCACTGTAGTTTTCTCCGATCTGGTCAAGCAATAACGACAGATGTCTATTGTGCCGAACTCCTAATAATGTTGGCAAAACTAGCAGTAAAACAGCCCCGACCCATGAATCGATCTTCACCATTATTGCTCCATGACAACGCGAGACCTCATACAGCACAAGAAAACTTTTTGACCCTTCAGAAATTGCAGTTAGAAACCATTCGTCATCCTCCGTATTCGCCAGATCTTGCTCCAACGGACTACCATTTTTTTCGTGATTTGGACAATTATCTACATGAGTAGAAGTTTTCTTCCCAGCACGCGTAGCATGACGAACTCGAGAACGTTTTGTCTACACTCAAATGTCACTTTTCTCGGGTGCACCCATACAATATCTCACTCTCGACCCGAGAAACCGACAAATGAGTGTAGACAAAGCGTTTCTCAAGTTTGCCGTGCTACGCGTGCTGGAGGCAGTACAAAATGCTTTCACACAGTTTGTGCAGTCTAGATTCTCAGAGTTCTATCGGAAAGGCATAAATGACCTTTCTATTAGATGGCAGCTAACTATTTTGATTAAATAAATTAGTTAAAAATTTAAAAATAAACAATTTTGATTTTCAGTACAAATCAGCAATTTTATATTTTAACCCTTATTATTTATCAGGCATAAGACTTAGACACGACTAGCGCGAATTAACATGACACCTCAGGACCTATTGTATTTGCTCTCAAACAAAAATTCAAGAAATTTCAAATTGTTCTTATAATTTTGTAAAAAATCATACCTATCTGTGCGTGCACCAGTGTCAAGTGTCTGTGGGTCCTACATCGGTGCATCATAAATTATGTTTTATCTTTGGAACCGAATTAGCTTTCCGTAAATAGAAAAAAATCAGTTTCGGAGAAATGTTTTGTCATGTTATCGACATGTCGACCTACGAGTAACACTCAGAGATTAGAGATGATTTAATACAATCTTGAAACGTACGCAGACATAACTTTCTTTATGGTCTACTATTATTGTTTTAAATCATCGCGTCATACAAAAAACTAGGCCAAGAACGATTCTAAGCAATTTTAAACCAACCAGATGTGGTGTATTAAAATTGCCGATGTAATGATTTACGAGTATGAAGTGTCCATTTGGTAATAAACTATTTAATTTTGAATACAACGTTATAGTGACTCCACGCCAAAAGCTAATGAGGTATTTATGGGGTCTGCGTTCAATATGAATCGTAAATGAGTCTGCATCGAGGTATAAACTTATTATAAGTTGGCATTCGTCCAAAGAAAAATATATTATTGTTTATACGTGGACAATTATGTGGATGAGAAGTAAGACCTATACTGTAAGTTACTTTTTGGCACACAGTCTAAAGTTGGTGCACACAACACCTATTTAGATTTGTAAAAACCGCTTACAAATGAAACATGGAATATTTACGCAAATGGAACATGTAGTTTCGTCATAAAATTCCTGCTACTATAGTCTGTTTCTAGAGCAGACGTAATAGTGGCAGATAACATGAAAGGCCGGGGGATAGTGACAGATATTATGTGATTATTTAAATTAAACCTTAAGCAGACTTTGTATCGGTGCCGCCGAGTGCTGCCTATTGTTACAGGTCTAGGTCAGCTAATAGCGTTCCGTACATCAAAACGCAGTACGTCAGAACGATCAGAAACGATCGGGTAACAATCAGAAATATATGGTTAGAGATACAAATCGTAATCTTTAGACGCCCACATACTCAGTAGCGGCGTTAGGGTAGGGCGCGGTTGGGCGACCGCCCAGGGGCGCCGGACCTAAAGGGGCGCCACAGGCCGCGGCGCCCTTTTTTCGTACGGCGCTTCTTTCTGATTCTGTATAATGAGGAAATATTTAAAAAAATTAAAGCACTACAAAAGTACCTCCACTAGATGGCGACTCTAGCAAAAGTTGATTTTTGCAGGAAACGAATGGAACAAAGTCAGTCATTTCCGTTCCTTTTAAGTAACATATTAAAAAACTGAAATTTGAAATGTTCGAAACTTAGATATCAATACAAATACGAAAAAATACAAATAGAATATGAGTTGTTAATTGAATTTTGAAAACTAATTTACTTTTAAACATGAAAGAAAGCTGGAATTTTTGTCATGGAGAAATCAAGAACGTACCGTAGCGACATCTAGTTTGATTTCGGGAACTAATGTTTTTTTTTCTAATACTTCCTCATTTCCCACAGACAAAGATTATACTCGGTGGAACAGAACGACCGACACTCCCGAGGTTCCTAGAGAGTACTATTTGTCTTTAATATGATGTAAAAAAAATTATAAGTCTAGGTCAAATAGTTTCGGAGATATTAAAATACAAAGTTTTTGAAAAAAAAATAGTGTTTTCAACCCTGAGTCAGCTGTTTTTGGGACGTACTAAGGAAAAGTTTTAATCGGTCATTGACTTCTTCATTTCTAAAAACGAAATAATCTAGTTTGTGATTTATAGACTGCATTCATGCAAATTCTACCAGACAATCAATAAACAAGGCAGTCAAAATGCTTAAATCGATTTACAGACTAACAGCCGGTTTCTGATTTGAAAGTAGAAAATTTCTACTGCTTATTCTCAATAACCTAAGTTTTTTTTTTAATTTCACAAGTCAAATAGTCCTAGTTTTATCAAACTGCTATCAACTGATCATCAAAAAACTAAAATCGGAAACGAAAACTAAGTAATGTTAGTTTGAGACGTTTAACTTGAAAATCGCCGCCGACGCACCGCTGCGAAGCGTCTTTTTTTGTCGATTTTTTTTTTGTTCTAGTGCATTTTTAATTGAATTTTTGTTAATAAGATACTAGAGTGTTCGTCTTGAGTGTTAAGTTTAGTTTAGTGAAGATTGTGTTTAGTTTTGTGTGAAATGTGATGTGTTTTGCGCGTGCATACACTGGCATGCAAAAGAGCGTGCTTAGCTGTCTTCAGAGAAGAATTGAACATTTTCAGCATCGACTATCATTAAGATCGGTAAATAATTAAATTAATGTATTTCGCGGTCCGTTGTAATCTGTGCACAATCGATATGGCGCATGCGTTAAAGGGCTGTCAACACTTAGAAATTTAAATTTTTTTCTCCATTTTTAAATATTTGTCAAATAAAATGAACGTTTGCATGTAACCTAACTTGAAACTTTCGGCTGTGTCGGTCATTTTGTTCCTCCCAGTATATTATAGTTCCCTTGCTCATTGAACAAGGTCTACTGGGTCGGCGAAAAGAGACAAGAACCGTGAGGATGTTTTTTTGTTTTCAAGTTGCCTCACTTTCAGCTTGAATTGAAAGGAAACTTAACAAGAAAAATATTATAGTATGGTAAAACAGAACAACATTCCGATTACCAATATGAAGATATGTATTTTATTAGGTATGATGACGTACATTGTCGTTCGGTCATTTAAGAAAACTTTCGTTTGAGCATGTTTAAACGTTAAGCTGAAGCTAAAATGCTGCAATACAAACGAATGCATCGGCAGTGGAGCCTCTGTCTGGCAAGTCAGATGGAATAGCTACTCAAGAGATTGTGAATGAAAAATCCCAAAGTGAGGGAGCAAGTAGTGCTACGATTACAGATGCTGATCAGGATAAATCTGTTATTGATGTACAACAAATACATGTACTAGATGATGTTGATACTGTTGTCTCGAATGTAGCGCATCCAGCTACTTGGCCACTTATTCGAAATAGCAAAATAATTGATCATATAATAAGTAATGGCCCACTGCATACTGACTGTCACAAAGTTACAACAATTACACAAAGTTATACATAACAATTATGTGACACCCTGTTAAGGTTTTACAAGGGTAAAGAGTCTGGACCCAATTTCAATGATTAACCTGTTATTTTAACATCTTATATACTTAAAGTATTAGGGAATTACACATTCCATAGATAGCAAAAATTTATCTGTACTTACCTAATGATGTACCATACGGTCTACTCTGTTATTTTCTCTGTTATTCTTCCTTATTTCAATGTTGTAATCTATTAAAAGTTATCGGCAGACAGTGGTAAAAAATGCGCTGGTTAGGGAACAAATAAAACAAACTTAGTACAAAAATCAAAATCGTATATTCAACTTCAAATTAAAACTTACTAACAATATTGAAAAATATCATATTCCAATATCGGTCCATTAAACTTAAAGCGGATTAATGGCTTTTAATAAATAATATAATTCTTATAATTCACTAAACAGTTTAATCGATATTTCAGATTAACAAAATTATTTCATTAAAATAATATTCTCTGATTTCGTTTTATGCTATGTGAATTACATGGCTGTATCCATAATATACAATCAAAGGTACAGTAAAACCCAAATAAAATGGTATATTTAGCAGTGCTTCAAAAACAAAACTGTAGCATTTCTCAAGTTTATTTTAAACCTTATTGTATTAACAGTAGAGTTCAAAATCAATAGCAGAAATTGGACATATTGTGGTAACCCGACGTGCAGCCGTGTGTACCTATGCAGAAGGCTAAAGCTGACACGTTACTGCGTGCATAGCCCACGATATAGATATAGTTGAAAATGCATAACTAATAAGGGCGCTCATATAGAAAACTGTGTGTTACAAAACCGTCGACTTTCAGACGTTTAATCCCAGTGTGAGTTTAAAGTGCGTCAAGTGTCGACCAATCAGAAAGATTCAAGTAGGCTATGTACGATTGAGATGGAAATCTATTGCGTTTTATACTTAAATCAAGAAAGATTGACATATAAAGTTGCACAAAAGAAGATTCACGAATTGAGATAATATTTAGATTTTACTGTAGTAATAACACTGCACTTCTCTATACAATCCATGATCTTAAAACCACCGCATTATCGAATGTAGGCATCTCTTAATTTAAAATAAATGCGAACGATATATCACTTATAATTACACCTATAATAAATCATTATATTGTGTAGGGTGACCGTATATTCCGAGAAGATCGGATAAAATTAATTCGTATATTATTTTATTTACCACAAGTAAGATCGGTCCGTCAAGGATAATGTAAAAATGTATTTAAACATTCGTCTATAAGCCAGCAAGTCTACATAAAGCGAAATGTGTTCGATTTATATCAGAATCGTTGTAAATATATCGTTTCTTATCAAACGTAACGTATAAATCTACTAATTTAATCTTTTGTTAAATGTTTATCATTATAGAAAAACTATTTATAATAATATTTGCTGATTTACAGTCACACTACACGATGTCTTTTCGATCGAAACTTATCATTAAATGGCGTTCGATAATAATATTGTGAACCAAAATCAACTTCGATTAGGAACTTTATTATTATTTACATATAAATCACTGTTGTAAACGTGTGAAACTATATATTATATGGATGAATAATAACAGAATACAAAAATAAAGATGCAAAGTTATTTTAGTTCACATATTTATTAAAATAAAAATCCAAATTATCAGCAAATAATGCTTTTATCAAACGATCGCTAGCAAAATAGCGTATGTTACAGATCACATGTTCTACACGGTTTTTTCGTATGAGATTTCAAATTTCGTCATAATTCATTGAATGCTTAAGCCAATAGAAATATAAGGATGCGTCCAGATAACTGCGCTACGCTTCTAATTGATATTTTGCTAGTAAAATGCATATATGTGTTATATTATTACAATGAATTCACATACCGACCCCACATTAACAATGAGCTAACATTAGTTGAAACAATCAAATCGCTCTATAACTGGTTCAGTTAAAATAAAACTACAATTATATCGATATTTCGAAATCTATTGCAAATATTTAACAGGACAGTAATATATTCGATTGTCTCTTACAATTAATATCAGTACGACCTGCACACCACAAATTGTAGAAGTAATCAGACCTAAATGAATTTCTGCCAGATGTGGACGCACCCTTAAGTGCCAATATTTAAAAGAATTTTCCTACTGTCTTATTGATAGTTCTACAATGATTATCAAAGTGTTACATACATCTTTGAAGTTATGATTTGCTTATTTTAACAAAAAAAAAACTAAATAAAAACGAATGAATTATAAAATCTTAGGCTATAGGTTTGAAAAAAAACTGTGATGTTATAACTACTAATGTTATACATATTTTTTTATGTAAAACTTTCGATACAATACTAAATTTGAGAAAATAAGCATGCTCTTGACAATGACGTCATTTCTCGAGTAGTTAATGTGATGAAATGTATGAGATGATGTTAAAATTTGACAAGTCAACTTGAAAACTTAACAATGCGCCTCTCGACACGCCATAAGCTACTTTCTAATATAAAACACTCCAAAAGGGGAGTTTAGCTATTAAAAATGAACACCAAATAATTGGAAATTTGTCACAACTATATTTAGAATGTTAATTTTGGGAGATATACTATTGTGGATGACGTGCTAAAACATTTACCATAAGAATAAAATACAAAAAAAAAGAAATTCGAAAGAAGTCTATTAAGAGCTTGAGATTCAAGTTTGGAGATTCAAGATTTGAATTTAATCGTCATATAACTTAGAACATATATATCGAGAAATATCAGAAAACAACATATTCCACACTTCATCCACTAATAAATACTCCTTGTTTTTTAAAATACATAGATGATCATACTCAAAAGCAGTCCAACAATTCGCAACGATTAACTTACGAACTAAACTGCTTCATATAATTTTACAACTTTTAAACAAGTTTTCAATAGCATCATTTACTTTTGCTTACTTGTAGACCGTAGAGACTACGTCAATATATATATAATACAACATTACTATAGTGTGATCGAAAAAAAGTCTCGATATTTTCCGAGCTAAACAATATATGTATATCGATGACCATAGAAATCTGTATCGTTTCCGCGTAGTACTGCCCATTACTATAAAACAAAGTATTGTAACGGTGCGTCGTTCATCTTAGGACAAGATGTTGATTAAACTTCTTTGTGTCTCTGACTTTAAACTTAATTTTTGATTAATCTTGATTCTTTATTCATAATTCAAAATTATTCTAAAACGAACTGCTGTATGTTATTATTTTGTATATTTATTTTACAGTTGTTTATTATAACCATAAAAATATACAATCAAGCTAATCCCGTATTTTTAATTCTAACCAAAAATACTCTATCATCGAAGTGTCTCAGTCACTACACGAAAACGATACGTATCGCATTATTTCGACGCTCACATTTCTGTGGCATTCTCCGTTTTTTCGCTTGTCCTAGGAATAGAGTATAGAAAAGATAAAAAAAAGATTATTCAAAAGACATTTCATTACGTTCCATTCAATTCCAAACTTACACCAAATTTTTAATATATAATAATAAAAAGTATAATATACAAAAGACATGACATTCAGATTACACACCATAAAAGATCTTTACCAGACTTAAATACCTATCCAATATCCACATACACATACAATAAGGCGAATAATCGACAGTCCATCCATTGTTTGATCAGTGCTTTCTTAAAACTATTTTTTTGCCAGTATATAATAAAACTACTATAATAGTAGTTTTCTTATTTTCTCCATATAAAATATGCACTACTTAAATAAAGAATACCTCATTGAAATTGATTATTAATAATGATATATGTAAATAAAATGATATGCATAGCTGATCAGTTGGTTAATATTCGAATACATTTAAAACAATGTAATAAAAAAGGTAGGTATAATAATTACAATAAATTAAACTATTGTGACCCATAATTATTGGTACACTTTGAGTTTATTAATTCGTGAGCGTATAATAAAAGCAAAATTGAGACTATATTTTTAATAATCAATTATGATTTATTTATTTTATTACACACGAAAATAATGTCACTGTGAAAACACATTAAAATACTAAAACATTAATCAGATATATTTAATAAAAAAACTGATTTAAAACAACTGCATAAGACTCATATCAGGTCCCACGAGTTAAAAATGTCTTTGTGTAAAAAATTAACTACATTGTACAACATCAACACAAGTAAATACAACCATTAATTCGAGCATGCAGATACAAAATTCGTGGCAGTGACAAAATTATCCATAGAGATTTCCCATTCAATATTCAACCTTATGGCAACCGCTTCTAGAGTAATATCCGACTGTTTAAATCTACACCTATCTACACGAGTCCATCAATCTTAAACTAGAAAAATACACAGTAAAGGCATATAAAATGTATACAAAATTCGAGTAACGAATATCGCGCATCGACATGCCAATAGAGGTTTTAAACAAATGACATTTCAGTCGAATTTCAAACGGATTAATATTAAAATTAATTCAATAGTCGTATATAAACTTCGTCATAATTCATATAACACGCGTGTTTGTGATTATTTAACTAATAATGTCAAGATGTGATGTGATTGTGATGATTGTGATGCTAAAAGTCCATCCTATAAATCAAGTGATGGATGAAATCAAGGTCAACTTTCACAGTAAATATGCATCGTCATGTACCATGAAAATATGACTTACTATGACTTAAACTTATCAACCGTTAACGTTTAGGTAGGTTTCGAGTAAAAGAATCTTTCACACCAGGCAGGATGTGTGCATTAAATTTTTTGTTATCCTATATTGAACTTTATTAACGCTAAATAAAGTGTATGTTGCACAGCATTGATGACACGAAAATCATTAATAAAAGCTCAATTACACAAGTCTTGAGATTCGTTTTCCTAAACAACTTCCAAGGATTTTCTGGAGATATCTTAATATGGACGACATGAAGTTAGTGTTTATGTAAATTTCAATTTTCGTTTCAACCAATGACGGAATCAGTCTTGTCATAATCGTAAATATGTTTTTATTTTGTGTTCCATCATTTTCATTAGATTGTTTTTTTTTTTGTGCAAAATTCTTTCAGTTTTTAAAAATAATAAAAATAAACTCAATTTTTTGAATCCAGCACAATTGTTAGTTTGAATGTAACATCTTAGTCAAAATCTCGCAGTAGTATCCATATTAATATAACCTTTAATCGCCGATCATAAATCACACTACAGATTCCTACAATCTAAACTAATATTACAGTCGTTTCTACTGTTCATAGTGAATTTGCTCAAAAATTCTTGGACCGATTTTCTAAACTCTCTCAACAAGAAAGTCCTAAATCATTGAGGATGTGACATTCAAGAGGAAATAGTCAAGAGTTCTCACGGAACAGTATGTTTTTAATTAGTCTGTGGTTGTCAGAACTGCATGTTACTTGCCGTGTGTTCAGTACTGGTCTGCTAGTTAATGTCACGCGGTGAGGGTGGCGACGGCGGGAAGGGGCGGAGGGGGAGGGGGCGCGGGTCACGCGCGCGGGTGCGGCTTCTCTCCCATACGTTTAGCTAATTCGGAGATCAGCTCCCTGATAAAGACAAAAATTAATGGAATACTAATTATTATAGTGAAAAGTAGAAAAAAAATGTTTTAATCAAATTAAGATTAAATGGATGACAATAGTCGTGGTGGTAGATAAACATCATCCCTTTGCATCATGTATTTATGTGTAATATACCTGTATATGAGCTATAGCTGTATGTGTGCAGTGTTCTTGCATTCATATGCACATACAACTACAGCTCAGTTCATGCTGTAGCTGTACGTGTGTAATGTATCTTTATTGAGGTTTATAATGTACCTATATATGAGGTGTAGTTATAAGGATGCGATGTGCTTTTCTATAAGCTGTAGTTATAATGTAGCAGCATATTCGAGTTATGATGCATGCAATACCTGTATATCAGCTGTAGCGATATGTGAGTAGTATACCTGTACATGAAATGTAGCTGTATGTGTATTAGTATACCTGAATATGGGCTGTAATTAAATGCGTATAGAGCACCTTTATATGAGCTGTAGTTATATGTATGTAGTGTACCTATACATTATCAGCTGTAGTTCTATTCGTGTAATGTTCATATATATGAACTGTAGTTGTATGTGTGTAGTGTACCTATAAATGGGTTGTAGTTATATGTGTGTAGTGTACATATATATGAGCTGTAGTTATGTGTGTAGTGTACGTATATATGAGTTGTAGTTATATGTGTATAGTGTACATATATATGAGCTGTAGTTATGTGTGTAGTGTACCTAGATATGAGCTGTAGTTATATGTGTATAGTGTACCTGTATATGAGCGGGTCCATGTTCCGTGCGAGCATGTACAGCAGCCACCAGTCTCCTACGTCGGTGCGACGGGACACCACCACAGCCGTCTCTATGGCGAGCGTGCGGGATCGAGCGTGTAATAGCCGCGGCCGCACGCTTGGAACAAAGATTATCACTAGCCTGCAAATATAAAGGAAAGATTCCGTTATAAATCTACCTTCGTCATGTACAAATAAATCTACAAATCTGATGAAATCCGACGTGATCTATACAATTTTAGGGAGATTAGAATTTATTATTTGGAGAAGATATTTCCATAAAAAATACTATTTCTTTTAAGCTTAGACAACAATATTATGTAACTATTTTGAAACTCATTCATTGTCCTAAAAATCTGTATCATTCCATGATAATCCAGTGTAGTCATAATATTTGTTTTGTTACTCACTATAAGATAAATAAATAGTGATTCAAACACATTTATCTGCTCATATTAGATCATTCTTAATTATTTAAAATACTAGAATTTTCCAGAGCAATCAAATATTTATCCTAACTATTAACAAACTAAATCAGGTTGATAATATTAAACCCAAATATTATTTAGGTGATTATATTATACGTAATAAATAATGTTACATCCAGCGTTATGATTAGAATATCGTTTAACAGAGGATCCCGTTGGTGCGGTGGGTAACGCTTTTAATTTCGAAAGGCAAGTTAAGTCTGTGACGGGTTCGATGTTTAGCCAAATGAATAGAAGGCTGAATAAGCTTGAAAACTTGATTTTATTATTAGTTAACGAAATAAAAAGCCTTTTCTTCGGATTTGGTGAGTAATTTAACTTTATTATATTTGATTGGATATAGTATACATTTACAACAGGTAACATTTATTTTAAGATACCTTACAACGAATTGCTATTGATTAAATTAAGTATGTATCATGTTTCTTCTTCTTCTTTTTTATTAATTGCGTTGCCCTTGTGGATTTCGCCAGAATCCAATGTTTCGCTCAGTTTAATTCATATTTAATAAACTCTGCTTTTTTGTGATAGAAGTGAAAGCTCAAGTTAAATTTAGAATTTTGTTAAATTTAAATCATGTTTCAAACTCGACGAATTTTCATGAAATGACATTCGTAAAGAGCATATTGGATTACACAAAATGACGAAAGATGAATAGTAAAAAAAAGTATGTTGAAGATCAAAGACAAAAAGTTTGCATGCCGAAACCTAGGGCGAAATAAACGGTAGCACGACGCTGCGTTACAACTCTTATGGAATGATTTTATAAGGATTAAGAAGGATGATTCTGTAATTATTCTCACCTATACAAGACGAGAAGTGACAGCACAACAGCCAAGATGATGTACCAGAACCACAGGAATATGTAGGTCTTCTCGTTGACTATGTTCAGAGGCAAGATGCAGAGGCTGTCGTGCGTCTGGATGGTGCCGGATGCACCGAACTTGTGGAATGTGCACTTGGTGATACGCGGGAACACGTATATCATAGGATCGTACCTGTTTAAATAAATATTAATTAATTATTGCTCAGAACACCGAGTTAAGTAGCGAAAGGCCTTGCATTAAACAACGAAACTACTTCAAACTCACATTTATTTTCTGTCTTGACCTAATCGGGAATCGGACTCTTTAACAAGAGAAATAGCGACACTCTGCCAAGGGGTACTTTTAAATAACATATCATGTGAAGTTAGTACTTTAAAAAGAAACCACTTACTAATAAAGCACATATCATAATATATATTTACATATTTTATGGTCTACATATCATATAGGTATCATCTCTAGAGACTCTTCCTCCCCACATTATTCTTTATTCAAAACATTCAAAGTTGATCTATCTGTGTGAAGATGAGAGAGGTCTGTGTTCAAATACATTATTTTGTGAATGAAATAAAACCTTTAATGGCTTTTGAAGTATTATATTGAACCTCTATGACGTGACTGTACTGCATATGACGAGTTCGAAATAAGCTGAGATTAAGATGAGTTACCTCTCTTCTTGCGGCACATCACTGTACCCCAGCACCCTGGTGCCGTACGAGAAGAACTCCCCGTTGAAGAAGTTGTCCATCATCCACAGTTGCAGCACTATGTTCACCAAGCACAGCAACTCGCAACCCCAATAACGCAGCGCGTATAATTTGTGCATCTGTAACATTTCAATAAATATATTATCCAAATACTCCATGGACTACTAACGCATCTGAATGAACCTAGAAATTTCCTAGATCATACATTATGAGTGATTTTGTCTAATGATAGATACTATGTACCATGTTAATAAATGGAACTAATCAAACTAATCAAATGAATATATCTTAGAATGAGTAAATGATGACCCAGTCCATAAATTCAGAAGCAAATCAAAAAACACTACATATTGCATCATCATCAGCCGGAATACGTCCACTGCTGAACAGAGGCCTCCCCCCTACATATTGCATAATAACATTATTTTCAGAAAAATAACCACCATCAAAATAATCTACTGGACCTACAACAACATCAACAGCCTTTCTAATGTTATCTATTAAATATCTAAGGTGCTTTCATCATTATTCACATCATATCTAAAGAGAAATAGGTCAGCTTCATATTCAACACTGAATATCATTTATAAATTATTAATAACGGCATATCTATACGAAGGGAGCATAACGCAACCGGCCAATGTCCAATTATGAAACGACTTCATTCAGACGGGAACGTCGGTATCGGAGTCGACAACCGTTTAATACAGCCTCGACGGCGACTCGCCACCGGCTACCATAAATTGACACTTAATGCACATTCCTACGATAGCGGTGTAATACTCAAATAACTTAAGAACATTGAAACTTTCACTCATTATATCTAATGCAACAGAAGGATCCAGATCCCATCGAACCAGAAACTAATATATATGCATCCAATTTTCCATTTAACGTGACATAAACGGAGTATTAAGTTTAGGTTTGTTGACCGAAACGTTACTTCCCTAAATCTAGCAAAAAATAACACACGTCAGAAATATTCTTGATGAAAATTGATTTAAAAAAAAACCACTTTGTCTCTGGTACTCTGAGATGGAATTCGAAACCATGACCTTTTGCAATCCACGCGATTTCTCTAACCAGGACTGACGAATTTTTCAAACACTTGTTCGCTACTACAGAGCGTATTTTCAATCAACCTTCAGGCAATCCACCCAAACAGCCGGAAGAAATATAACTTTCGATAAAGATGAAAATTTTGCATTCTACATTTTTAAACATAAATAAAGTGTTTCTTCTTATACAATTGTATTTATTCCTGCCAATATAGTAGAAAAATGTACAGAGTGAAATAGATAACCAAAATATTAAATGTCACGCCTGCAATAAAATTGAAGATGTACAACATTTGTTGATGGAGTGTATTAGCAACAAAATGAGAGGGAGTCATTTATGAAAGAATTTAAATTAAATGTTTTAGATATAGGATTAATTCAAAGTATTTTATCAGAACCAAAGTCTATCATTGCACAAAAACTATGTAAATTACTCGTAAATTTAAGATAAGCTGTAGTAAATGCTGTAAAAAATTACCTAGTGAAATATTGGTATCAAATGAATTTAGATTTAAGTATGGTATGATGGGGTTGGCATGTTCTAAATAAAAACCCCTTAAAAATTAAAAGAATTAAAATATATATATATATATATATTAAACCGACTTATACATACATATGCCAAAGTAAATAAAAGAATACCAAAAAAATGTGTTCATGGACCGATTTTTGTATCCTTCGATTATATTATCTAGATCGGTAACGTATGAATGGGACTAATTCGTCGGTCATCGGATAAGTTGGTTTATTCGAGACGGTATTTATATTACCTCGGCGGGTGGCCGGTCCGTTTGTATATCATCATAAGTAACAATATGATACGTCTGTACTTTAAACATACACAACAGAGGACTGTTGTCAAGACAGCTTATCAGTTAAACGTTTGATCAGAGACAAGATGCAAATATGCAAGACAAAAAGAAACATCTGTTGACATATTGCAAATTATGTATGTTCTAGAAAATTTACCTATGATTTTGGGAATTTTAAACGTTTCCTAGGATCTCCTAGTAATTGATGTAATTTATTCGGTTATAGGAATTATATAGATCTCTAAATAATATACATTTTCAGGTCCAAGATATAGAAATTTATTAATATGTATTCTGGGATGATAGGGTAATTCGGCGCGGGGTGTATTCGTCATTAGTTCAAGATATAGTAAGATAGGACATTCATTTTCCACTAGACGATCGTTCACTAGAAACATCGGGTCTAATCTAAACTGTTATGCACATTGTGCTCAAAAATCTTGTAATATTAACAAATCGTAACAACACTCAAGTAAATGAAATAAAAAAAAACAACACTTACATTTTTTATTTTATTACTTGAGTATCTGTTGTTTTTTAATTTATTTACAGCTCGTTAAACACATTTCCTCGAATCATTTAGGAACCGTTTACAAATCCTAAGAAATAGCATACTCATACGAATTTCCTAGAAATTGTGATTTGTACAGTATCCTGTAATATAATAAAAGATAGGAGTATACATAAGAAGAAACATAAAATAAGGCGATAATGCCAAAAATAGGCCAATAACAGGCCTATGACATATGAATCAGGTTTACAAAAACATGCTACGATATCCTTACAAGTTTTTTTTTAATTCGATACCCTATTGATACATTCGGATAATCGGTGAATCACACGTGCTGATAGATGACACTTGATAAGCAAATACATCAGTAGGAAGTAAGCACGTACATCTAAACTTGGACAGTGTGAAGGTAAGTAACCAAATACGGCAAATTTATAATATGAGTGACATAAGAATCGGTTTCATTGAATAATTGAACGACAATGATTGTTATTTTTCTTTTCTATACTTATATTATAAAGAGGAAAGATTTGATTGTTTGTTTCTTTGAATTGAATATGCTCGACACTACTGGACGGATTTTAAAAATTCTTTTATCTACGGGTAGCTACATCGTACGGGGTTGATATAGGCTATAAACGCGGGAAAACAGCTAGTTGTGTATATTTTTGTAGCTGCGCTAATACAAATTACACTGTATGAGTTTAAAAGCTCGCTCAATTAACTCAACATATATATTTTTTTAAATATCTTGTAATTTTACTTGGTGTTGTCCTCATGTATTCGCAGTATATTATTATTTTTTCGGAAAAATGTACAGAGGTAAATATACACAGGAGAGCCTGTGCCCTTCGTTAAGCTTCAAACTATCTCTAATGCACGCTTTCACAAAACTTACGAGTCGCTCAAATCTTTTGCCTAAATATATATTTACGAATCTTATTTTTACCTTGGGCTAGGCATTTGCGTAATATAAAATAATAACAGATCACAAATATCTCAAAGAATAAAAGGAAGAAACAATTGGAATTAAACTAAACTGGTATGATTAGTAAGACCAGACGTTTCCTAGTTTAGCTATGCCTTGTTCTAGGTAAGCGAACACGAGTGTTAAGTGTATTAAATATTAAACAGTTATTCATGAGAAAGCTTAACAGAGTCACTATTTTCATTGCAATATTATTATTTGTTTACTCAATCACGGCAAAAGAAACAAAGGATTATGTTTAGGTGATTATTTTATTCTTCCAATGTTAAATAAATTTTACTTTAATTACCTAAATCGTAATAAGTTCTTAAATCTTAGTATCTTATTTTGACTTTAGTAAAACCTCTGTGGTACTGCTTGGCGAACGTGACTCTTGCCATGTTTTACAAGGGTGGTTCCAAACGCAAACACATCTTTAGTAGCTGTTTTACCCACCACCTCGCGCACATACCTTACAGCCTATGTCGCGTTTGACATATCTGCACGTAGATGAAAGAATTTTTAAAATCCGTTACAAACAATTGCCTCTTCATAATATTAGAGTACATATTGTTAATCGCTGAACTCGATCTTATATTCGAAATATACACATTTACTGCTCAACCTTCGTTGACAACAGTTCGACCAATCTTCCCTATTACAGCCACCCTCGTAGCTATTACACAGAAACGTGACTACAACTGGGTAGCTCCCGAGCGCGGCCAATTATTATTATTAAAGGTCGGCCCCGACAGATGCGCGTGCGCATTGCGAGCATGCGCTCCTGCGCACCTGCTAAGTATACATTTGTAGATTGATAGGAGCATGGCCATTGACGAATATTTACAACGCGAAACGATTAGATATAATTTCAGAGCAAGTGACAATATACAGGACAGGTTGTTATCGAAAAATACCACAATTTATACAATGGTTTTTAAGAGCGAAATATACGTATTAATATTATAGACTTCATCAAAGCTTAGATCTTTTGAATGTAGCATGCAATATAAAATTCCTAATTGAGTTTTAGTTCTTTTGTTAGTTTCTGAATAAAGACCATGTTACACGCATCGGAAAACGACATAAAACTATCCTTATTACATGGCCCCACAAAATAACCTAGTTGTGACCGCAAACAGTTCTAAGAGTTGCTTAGGACGATCAAAGGTAATTTTGGTGAAACTATCTAGAATTCATTGCTTTGTGACCCTCAATGCTCAATATCAAGTACCTCACGCTGCTCACCTGAAAGCCACTCATCCAGTAAAGTAACGTTTAATCTATTTAAACTGTTACACCAAAACTCAATGTCAGATGATAAATTTTACATGAATTATTCTTATTAAATTTTCATTTTCATTTTTTTCATTTCATTTTTTTCATTTATTCATTTGGTATTAATTAATTAAATTAAAATAATTACATTACATTACATTAAATTAATTACATTACGTCATTATCAAATTACATTACATTATATCGAATTATATAGGTATTCAATACAATGGTATTGAATGGTCTTTACTCTTCATTTCGTGCAATACACTATAAAGACTTCATTCATCTCGCTATTACGCACACTTTAAGTAACGGATATAATAAACAACATATATTATAAATCAATGTAGAAATAGCATCAGCGTGGTCGGGAGAAATGATACTATGTTCCAGGTTATAGATCTCTATTTAACTAAACAATCTTCGTCCTATATACTCCTTAAATCTAAGAGCGAGGTATAAGGGCACGTGATAAGTAACTCCTAAGGAA